TTTTTTTTTTTTTTTTTTTTCTGAGAAGATGAAAGTCATGCAGCTGCAAAGAGCAATATTCTGATCTGGCAGACATATCATGCAAGTGTAATAGCTATAGGGGGTTCTTCCTGGTTTGAAATTTGAATAGAATTTGATTCTGAGGAGTTTGCAACTGTAAGGGACTGTCTTGAAAAAAAAAAAGTCATAACACACTCTGTTTTGGTTCCTTCACTTGCCTTTGTTGTACTGTGAGACCTTCCTTGAAAGACTTGAGCCTGATGTTTAAGGTACCTCCCTTACTCAATTAAACAAGCTAAGTAAATAGTTCCGTTAAATATCTCATTTTGACTTTATTGAATTTATTTCTGTTGCTTCTCTTACGTGGAATCTATCTAGCTGTATGGTATAGTTGGTAAATTTGAGGGGCTATGTTCCCCCACAGTGAATTATTTTTTTAATCTCTGCCTCCTGCAAAAGCTTCTCCAAACCTCCTTTCTAAAAATTAATAGTGAAGCATGAGAAGGGAGCACTGAGTGTTTCTTTGGTTTTGTTTGTGTTTTTAGTTTTTTTTCTTTTAATATTGCCATCCTCAAGATGTCTTGCTCTTATGCAGTGATAAAATGTCTGGCTCGCTCACTGTAGACAACAGGAGTGAGAGCCAAAAAGTCAGTAGCTTCTTAGAAGGCTTCAAGAGGTGGTGCAGGAGAGAGGGGAGAGCTGATACAAAGCAGCCGACCACTGTCTGTCTCATGATGTCGCAGTGCTTCACATGACAGTCTGGGGCAAGGCTTTTTAAATCCAAACTATTTTCACAATAAATTCTAGCCAATCTCTTTTTTATTATTATTTTTTAATTTATTATTTTTTATGTCTTTGTTGCCTCCCATGTCTGGTATTGGGGCACACATCCTAAGTGATGAGGCTGTACACATCCTGCAAGCTCATGGCCAATGCTGACCCTGCATCCTTGGTGCAGAAACTTGCCAAGTAGAAGACTGAGTCAGTAGCAATTTGACAGTTTGAGTTTGTACAGACAGCAGTAGATGATGAAACTACATCACTGTGCTTTAAATTCTTATGACATTTTAAAGTGGATTATATTTGAAGGTTGCACTTGCATAGGTGCTTTTGAAGCAAAGCATCCATTTTCTTCCACTTTAATTTTTGTGGTTTAAAGAATGTGTCCCCTCTGTTCCTTGCCTAGTTTATTTGTGACTAATTTCAGCAGGATTCTCTTTCTGATATAAAAACGAAAATGAGTGTGCTACTTGTATTAAAAACAACACAAAACCCCCCACCCCAGAACACCAAACCCTCTACCCTTCTGAGGTTGTGAGTAAACCCATCAGATTGCTGTCTGATGCTCCAGCTGTATGAGCACAGCTGCCCCAGCAGTGCCTTCTAGCCTGATAAACCCAGGGACTGCAGGCAGCAAGGCTGGGCTGGGCTGAAATCACAGTGATAGGGACACATCTGGAAACCTGGTGACAGAACTGACCTTAGCCTAGAACTTGCCACTCAGTAAGAATTTAAAGTCCAAAGAGCTTTAGGCAGCCTTTGGGTGTCCAGTTCCTTTGGGCAGGCATGTTACTTTTGTCCAGTGACCTGCTGCTGGTGTCTGTGGTTCAGAAGAAATTCTGGTGACTACATAACCTGTTCTGACAGCCTTGAAATGTATGTAAATGA